GTGGGTTCCTTTATTCCGGTTATTAGGCTAGATTACTATGTGATACGCACAACATACAAGTATAGACTGGGTCGCCTGGATTGGAACAAAACTTTTCATGTTTGTCTTTGAAAGATGGTTTGCTACTCGCAAGTAGGCTTAAAATGTAGATTTTGCCACCCTCGGGTGGGCTTAGAAAAGATGGTTTTGCCACTATCTAGTGGCTTAAAAACAAACAGTTGATGATTTATTCCAATCCAAGTAACCCAACCTTCACCCACAGGCATTCAGGAAGTTATATCACATAAGCAAATAGCCTCATGGTAAGCATGCTATTCATGGCAGTCACTCACACGCATGCAAGGATGCTAAAGCATAAAAACTCACCGAGTATCCAAGCCAAAACAGAAACTACATTAGAAATCATGCATGATCTAAGTATACAGAAATGCCTAATGCAACACATGCAAAAATGCAACTATAGCAGGCTCGGCTATTCTAAACATGGCATATGAGATGCAACAGCTAACAGTATTCAACTTTGAAATTGAAATACAAATGCAGTTAGTATGATGCGCCGAGCCCGGTACATGTAAAAACAGATGAATGATGCAAACATGCTGTCATACTGTATGCTAATTGAAATATGCCATAATTCTAACCATCATAAGCAGGTAAATAAAAAGGGAAGAAAGACGTGGGGTTGGAAGACATACATCACACTCACCCACACTTATTACAATTATGCACTCGCACAGAGGGTCGAAATAAATAATACAGTCCCAAATAAAGAAATATTACAGTCCAAATAATGTACAAATTCCTTTAATTTAATAAGAACATACAATGTTTTCAAAAATAGATATCATGGTTAGTAGAGGCCGATCTTTGATCGGGCGAGCGGGGGTGCTCACGAAGTGACCTTCCCCAATCGTACCCAAGTTCCCGAGCCGAGGCAACTTTGGTGATGACGGACACGTGGCCTTTGGCACCGAGTCAGGGTTTCCTAAATTTCTCCAAAATAAAATATTTAGGTGGCGACTCTGTATCTGGCAAAGCAGTCCATGTTTGGCACTTCTTTCAAAAATCTGTTTTCTCAAAACGATTTGCCGGATTTGGACTCTTTGGTTCAGACTTAGAATCGTGACAATTTTAGAGTCCTGAGCTGTAGTGACCCCAAATGAACAGAACGGGAGCTCACCCTCCCGGGGCGTTCGGGGACGTCTACACTCACTCTCTATGACATCACTCACTCTCTCGAATGACGCAAGTCACTCTCTAAAAAACTTTACTGGTGAAAGAGAGTGAAGGAGTGCATTATATAGGTGCCCAGGAGCGTCCCACTAATATTACCTGGGACGCTCCCCCCGCGCCACATGTCATCCCCCGATTGGTGTTCCCTTTCGCAATTCGCGGCGTGTTGTCGTCTAGGGGCTCCGCTCCGCGCCCAGATCTGCGGCCAGGATTAAAAATCTAAAAAGGCAAGCGCAAGCAGGAATTTATTATATAAGACAAAATAATTGGGGAGTTTGAATTATTTTGGAAATGGATCGCGGAGATCTAGGACAATTTAGGCGGTTGATTTTAAAATACGAGCCGGATCTACTGTTGGGGCACTGGTCCTTGTTGGCCATCAGCGAAAACAACGCCGAAAAGTTAATCCGGCTCATCAATGCCTGTCAGTGGCAACAAGATGCTCTATTCGCCGGTATGAAAGCGGTTTCTGAACTAGAAACCCAAGCAACGTCAGACACATATTCCGTCGCTGATTATTATTACATCACGGCGCCTGAAACAGATGTCCCTGTGTGGTCTAGAACTGGATTTGGGTGTAATAAAAAAAAATTGTAAATTATTATTTTTTTTCATAATTTGTGTTGCGTTGGAATATGTAATAAAATTATTTTATAAATTGTATTTCATTATTGGGCCGCGCCTCAATTAATGATGGGCCTATGTCTGATGGGATTATTGGGCCGCGCCTCAATTAATGATGGGCCTATGTCAACTGGGCCTCTAGTATCCACTTCTTTCATAGTTTTGATGGGCCTATTTTAATTGTTCATGTTAAACATTACATGGGCCTTATTATTGTAATTGGTCCGTTGGTCTATCTACCAATTACAGCCCATTAAACATTAAACCTGCTCAGAAATCGAATTTATACAGACAATATAAATTCCATAAAAGTGCATTTTATTTAATCAAAAAAATGTACATAAATATTTTCCCATTGCCAGTCTTTTACATAATATGAAATTTTGCCTAGTACAATGGTCAGTGCGAGACAATAATTAACTACACTAATAATCCCAAAGCTGGATAATTTGATCGTCATCCTACGTGCAATAAGCTGGGTAAATACAGTCTCCGTGAGGCTTCTGCGACCATGGGATGTCAGCCATGTATACATTGTCGTTGTAAACGTCCGGATTCCCAATGCTTTCCGGAGGTTGTAGTTGAACAGGCATTCTATCTTGTACACCCCCTGATTGCCCGGTCTCAAGAGGTCTACTGCTTTGAACCACATCGGGTTCTTCAAAGTATCGTAAAAGACCCCTGACAACGTCCTCTCTCTACAATGGATGTGGTTCGACACATTCGTTCGTATAGAATATCGAACAGCCGCATTGGAAGTGGAATATCTTCCTGCATTGGGCCTTCTTCTTGGCATTACGATGCCTCTTCTTGATTGGTTCTGCTGAACAAGGGCTGATCGACTGTATAGAATTCTGCATTTCTGATCGTCCACGCTTTGAGCCCGGCGTGTTCATTTTTTTCCAAAAACTCTTTGTAACTAGAATCAGCTCCGGGTTTGCATAATATAATACTTGGAATCCCGCCCTTTATTTTCATTGGGCGGGCATATTTACAATTTGAAAAAAAATCCCGTTGCGCTCCAATAAACTCACGCCAAAAAAAGGGACAGGATTCCAAGTATTATGGCGACTAGTTCTTAGCATTACGATGCCTCTGTTCAATAGATTCTAGTTACAAAGAGGAATATCAAACCCAAATCATTGATGCCCATATGAGAATTGTGTGTCTAACAATTCTAATAGATCGCTGCGCTATCATAATGTCTGCAGAAATACAACAAACCGATCTTACAGATAATCTCCACGAAAATGAAGAGGGCGATTTGGAAACCCAAATCATAGACGCGACATCAAACTTACCGGTATCCAATATACCAATAACTAATCCAAAGATAGGCGATGCGGTGTGGCAGAAACTCACATTCAAGTCATTTAACCAGAAACATTTTGGATCGCCATTTCGTACCAGTGCTAGTGCTTCGTCCTTGGTTCCGGTGGCACGTGCGTCGCGATATATATTTTCTTTGTTACTCTAGTTAGCGCAGCGGCCGCTCTCACGGAATTCACCTCATTCCATGTAATCCTCGTGTTTGGATATGTATTATCGCGACGCACTTGCCGCTCGTAGCCGTGTGTCTCGTATTTTGACTTCGACGCGACCAGTAGAATTAAATGGACACTGTGGCTTGTACCTTAGCTTGCATTTGTCAATTATCATCGACTTGAATGTGAGTTTCTGCCACACCGCATCACCTATCTTTGGATTAGTTATTGGTATATTGGATACCGGTAAGTTTGATGTCGCGGAGATCTAGGCCAATTTAGGCGGTTGATTTTAAAATACGAGCCGGATCTACTGCTGGTGCACTGGGCTGATATGGATCCTTCCACTGTGGCTTTTACAGCTTCTCCACAGGCATTCATGCAATTTAGTATTTAAGCACATAGTCTCATGGCAAGCATGCTAATCATGGCAATATTCACACTCATACAAGTATGCTAAAGCGTAAAAACTCACCTAGTACTCCAAGCTAAAACAGAAACTAGTTAGAAAGATGCATGATCCTAACTATACAAGATGTCTAATCCAACGCATGCGAAGAATGCAATTAATAGGCTCGACTACTAATATGGCATATGGATCGATTTGAACAACATGCGATTAAACTCGTATTCAAAGAAGTATTGAAATGGCAATGCAGTTTGAATGATGAGCCGAGCCTCGGTGCATGTAATACAAATGAATGGATGCAAGCACAAGGTATGCTAATTTGAAACATGATGCTCCAAATCTAACCATCAAAAGCGGTTAAGTAAAAGGAAGAAAGACGTGGGGTTGGAAGACATACACACACGCACGCGCACGCATGCGCGCACACTTATTACAACATAACACTCTCACGAAGGAGGATCCGAATGAATAAGCTAACTAGCTAGCTACGCTAATTAAGCTAATTAATTATTACAAAACTCGAATTAATTAACTATTCTAGTTAACTAATTACAAAACGAAATCGAATAACTAGTTAAACTAACTAATTATTTACAACTCTTAATTAGCTACAACTAATTAAATACAACATGTATTTAAGTTAGATATTTAAACTTTAAATAAGCTTGAAATGCAAGGAAGGCTCATGCATGTGCTCGATTTCCACCCGAAAGGTCACTGTTTTGCTGCTAAACGCCTCTGTTTGCACATAAGCACTTACACTTTCTTTTTTTCCAGATCAACTCTGTTTTGTTTTAGGAGTACAATGTTGAATTTGCATTGGTGGTCGACAGGGGGGCCGGTCGGCCGCTGTTGATGGTAGGTCGGCCAACAATGGTGGCCGGTCGGCTACTGATGGTGGTCGGTCGGCCACCACTAGTTTGGACTTCCTTGTTGTAACAGAGAGCAAACAGAGCAAAACAAAGCAAAACGGTGTACTTTTTGAAGGTTTGTTTGTACTGTTACCCTCCTTATCATCAAGCAAGTTCAAAGGAGTGATACTCTTGACTCTCAAACCATCAACCAAACAATTTCATTGCATGATGGCCAAAGAACCAAGTTTGTACAAGTTTAATGAATGCAAAACAAGACTTAAATGACTATCACCCTATCATGCATGATGAAGGGCAATAAAGACCTAGGAAAATGACACATTTCATCACTTTTGAGTATGAAATGTTCCATTTTCCTTGTGTTCAAACTAACGTCCGATTTGAACACATGCAATGCAACACAAAGAATGCTTATCTTGCCTCTTTTACTTGTCGATTTTGTTTACATATTTTAATTACCAAATCATTCTTTAATCAATTAGTCCATTGGTGAGTGTCTTCTAGGATGAAAGAAACGTCAACCAAGGGATAGTTTAAGGCATGAGAAAAGCTTCATGCCGTTGGTAATGAACCCTTGAAGGAGGATTAAACCATTAAGCATGAGCCTCCATTTCAAGCGTAAACAACTCTAAGGTTAAAACAACCCTCAAAGCAAATGAAAAAGTGAAGAAATAAGGGAGATTGCAGAGAATATAAGTACTGAAATTAGGTGAAAAAAAAAACACTAAGACATGCAATCTACTCAAACCAATGATGGTTAAAGTCTTAAAACACCAAGCTAGTGAAAGGACTTACACTACAACTACGCAAAGTAATACTCAAAAGGCACCAAACAGCCAAAAAGTGGCAAAACAGTTCAAAACAGAGTGTAAGACATCCTGGACATGAACCACAAAAAGATAAAACATTAAGCTAATACATGGGGCTAACTAGGCATGCAAACATGACACAAGGGGGGGAGGCTAACCCCTCCAATTTTGAACTTCAAAATGATTTTTTTGCCACTGAAAAATCTCTGAAATTCAATGGTTAAAAGGCCCAAAAAAGGTGGTTTGAAAGTGGTGAACAAAGGCACAAAAACTTTACAAACTAAGAAGCAAGAAGGGTGAACCACCCCTTAATTGAAAATGGCCTCAAACCAACACTTTAAAGCCATAAAAACATAGCTTTTTACAGTTCAAAATCAGACTCAAAACAATTGAAAAGGATGGAAAAACAAGTGTACAAAACAAGTATAAGGAGAGAGTGTTATACCTTTTGAAGCCAAGACACAATTTGGCCAATAATCCAAGCCAAAACCTCCTTCTAGAGCTCAAAACAAGTCCCAAGCTACCTCAGCCCAAAGACTAGCAACTTCTATTAAGGGTGTATAGGTAAAAGTGTAGGATTTGTGAGCAAAATGTGTATAAAATTACAAGAGAGAAAGCGAGAGAGAGAGAGAGAGAGAGAATTTGGTTCCAAATTTTCTAACCCTCAAAAATGGGGGAGGAACCCCTATATATATAGAAAAACAAGCCTTGAGCTTAGAAATATCATGAAACATCCCACCATACACGTGTAGGGAGATACAGCTCAGTGTGCTAACAGTTGTTACAGCTGTCAACAAATATCTAGAAAAAGATACTGATGGCCGTTGACCACCACTGGTAGCCAACCGGCCATACCAATGGCTGACAACCATGAGCCATGGCCGACAGCCCATGGTGGTGGCTAACAGGTCACCACAAGTTCCAGGCTTGAAACAACAAGGTTTTCGTCAAAAACAAAACACAAAATGGACAAGCTTTAAAGGCTCAAAGACAAGACGTTCCACCGAGGACTCCAGTCACGCAAATCGAATAAATGCAATCGTAATCATCAAGTGCACAAGCGATGATGTCTAAATATTGAGATCGGTCAAAAATGGGGTGTCTATAGAACACGTCAGAATCTTTTGCTAGGCCAAGTTTCTCTGCGGCAGCTTTCCAGCCGCACTGGAAAAAAATGTCCTTCATCGTTTCGACCTGCCGTGCATAAGATTTCTCGGCTTCAGCGTAGCCACGGTCTTCTGCGTCATCTACTTGCTTCTCCAACTCAACCTTGTGGGTGTCACGAAACTTGCGCAGTTTGGCGATGTACCTAGCTTTGGTCGCCTGCAGGAATTTTTTTTTTTCATCATTTGCCCTTACCAACCGCTCAGCTAGCTGATCCTGCTCGGCCACTACAACCTCCTTAGCGGCCTTCAGTGTTTCTAGCTCGGCAGTTTTGGCTTTGTTGTCGGTTATGGCCTCTCTCAAACTCTGCCGCATGGAGACCATGCGTTGGTGGACAAGATAGTTTTTCTGCGCAACGTGCGAGAAACAAATAGTTAATATACTTAAACCAACAAATAACTTGGCAATAGAAAAGCTCAGCTTCACAGGAATAACTTACCAGCACAATCGACTTTGCAACCGACCTTAGCACCTTCAGGTCGGATAGCTCCTTGTGCTTCTTCATGTCAACAGGAAGAAGCAAGCCCATGGTCATCTAGAAACCGAGCGAATAGTCTTTATCAGCATAGACCGAATCAAACGTAGTCACCACTTGGCCCTTGTACTTCAGCTCAGGCAACCAGACTATGAGGCATTGGATCGGGTGGAACGCTCGGCCAGTGTTCGTTCAGTCTATTCCCCTTGCTCCGCTAGAGGAAGCTCGATGGAGTATTCGTCTATCAGCCTCTGCTCGGTCGAAGCCTATCTTGGTCTCTTCTTCGACTGGCCAACAACTTGTTCATTGGCAATAGCCAGCACTGGGCTAGATTCATATGCAGCTAGCTAGGATGTTTTCCCTCCAACTGTTTTGGCTGGCTATGAATTGCTCGGCTCTCCCTTGATTATGGACTTTATGGCTTGGATTTTGGCCATTTCTTGCTCGGCTGTCAGAGGCACAAATCTGATCAGTAGAAAATTTGGATCCGACTCTAGAAAAGGGGCACGTAGAAAATCGATGACCTTACTTTTGTACGGTGTAATGTGTCGATAGCTCAGGTCGTAGCCGAGCAGCTTTTGGGGTTGTCACTCCTCGGTCGGATGCCGCAAAGCAACTCGAATGGCCTCCTGGTTGGCTCAGGAATAATCCTTTACAAAGATTGTATAATCTGCACAAAATGCGCAGTGTTAGATCAACAAAAAGATCGAAGAAAAAAATTCAAACCATGCTAAACTGCTCACCAGTGCTCCCAAAATGTTTATGTTTGTACCAGCCCGGTATGGGCGCCTCGGTGTCCTTATAATTGCCGAGCACCCATAGAAAGTCGTCATCATTTATTTCTTTGTCCGGGTGTAGACACCCCATTTTTGACTGTCCTTACAACTTGGATGCCACCGCTTGTACACCCAATGATGAATTTATATATGCTTGTCAAGTGCTCGAAGTCCTCAGCAGAATGCCACAGTCTTAAGCCTTCAAAACCCTACACACCCCTTACCTTGTTTTGGACCAAAACCCTAGCTTTTTAAGCCTAACAACCTGGGGACCTGTAGGCCCCTTTCTTTGGGCTGTCGACCACTGATCTTACCTGCTGGCCATAAGTGTGTTTTGGCTAATATTTTTGCCAGCTGTGCCAGCTGTTTCGACTGATATTTGCATCTGCTTACACGTATATGTATGGATGTTTCTGAGGGAGTTGCATGTTTTTCTATATATAGGAGACCTCCCATTCCATTTTTGAGGGTTGAACATTTTGGAGCAA